TATTGCGCCAAAGCTCCCATAACTAGATGGTATGACCGAGATTACAGATTTCTAGATCCAACTGATAATTGACAACCGTAAACTGTAGCACAGGCTATTTTTCAAAATTCGTCGTCTGTGGGATTTGAACTCTAGACCTGCCACTTGAAGAGAGTGACAACTAGACCACTACACTAAGTCGCCACACCTCATTTTTATTATATAATAAGGCCAGATTAATTTAATTCTCTGTTTAATATAACTCCCTTCCAATACATATTTAGTTAAGCAATAAAATTGCAATAATATTTTTTATATAATATTAATACATGTTTTTTTAGTACCACCCTCTTGTAAAGATATCTAATGTTATATTAAACAGAGAATTATTAGTCTGGTCTAAGCAATAATAAGTAAAAAAATTGATAATTGTAAATGCAATCGTAATTAGCAGATTTTAACTTCAGAATAATATCTTTCAAAGTTGTATTTGTGAAACGTAATAAGTAATAACGAGTCATAATAAGCAATAATTAATATATAAATAAATAATTATTATATTGCCTATCTCTAATCTAGACTCAAGTAATAATTTCATCTACATGCACAAATATCTATCAAGGTATCTTTCCAAGTTTATATAATAAACATCTATCGAACTTCTGATGGTTTCCTAGTAATATATTATTGCGAAAAGGAACCTATTAAGTATTATCTTAAAATAATGAAATATTATGGTCTGGGATAGTCTTTTTAATAAGTATCCCCGTTAAAAAAGACTAGCAGTTCAGGCAATTAATACCCGGTTATACACATAATTAACCTCATCATATTATACTTATATTCAAATATTGTTTGTTTAATGATTTCTTATATTGAGCCATAAAATTTTCACACAAAAATAACAACAGTAATATTTTGTTAAATAACTATAAAACTAAGGAGGGAAAGTAACACATTACTGGGGAACTCCAATTGGTTCGAGTGGCAATAGCCAACTGATGGAGATTTTGAAGGTTGCATACTGGCACGATCAATTCCGAATATTGGCAATTGGACTGTATTCACTTCTGTGCAATTAGAAAAGTTACAAAAACATGAAATCGAAAAACCCATACCATATTTCTCAACTTTAACAAAGCCAAATTCTGATTGGCAGATACCATTGCCAAACTCTGAAAGTACGTATCAATTTCACATTCATAAATACTGTTAGAATACTAACAAGTTTTATATTTATTAATATATCATAGATATACGTCCAGATCATTTATCAAAGAAAAATCTAGTAAAGCAGCTATATTCAAGACATATTAATGTTGACGGAAAAGAGAATAGAAGCGAATTAATAGAAAAATTAAAGTTAAAATTAGAAAAAAAAATCACAAGCCCAAACACAGATAGGTTATAGAAAGGAAGCATAGAGTATGATAATTATAATAATAATCCTAGAGGTCCGACTATATATGATTTACGATGGATATATTGTACGTACCTGTTTTAAGATCAAAAGAATTTTAATAATACGTTAATGGATATAACAAATACTCAAACCCAGAAACAGTAAGTAATATTGCTTTTGATTTTGAATAATTTCAAATAACTACTCACTTGTAAGCAATTTTTAGAAATATTAGTGAAGTGTTTTCTTTACATCCCGGTTGGCTTTAAAAGAAGCCCAGAAATTTGGCAAAAAAGGTACTGGAAAACAAATAACAAAAGAAGTTCGGGCCTTGTTAGAGAGTTTTTTTATGGCAGGAAATATGAATAAAAGTGATCGTTATACTACTCAAGACATGCATCAAGAGTTGCTAAAGTGTGCTGAAAAAGGCGAAATATCTAGCGAAGATGTTCCCAAGCCCACTACTATTCAGAATTGGATAGCAAAAACTACACGTAAGCACCGAGAACAGGCAGCAGCAAAGGTTTTGAATAACAGTAGGTTGTGAAATTTAAAAAAGGTTATATATTGACTGGGCCAAAATCTGATGCTCCTGCAAGGTAAAGTTTTTTTCGGCTCTTCTAATTAGAATAATAAAGATATTAAATTGAAAAGCAAGTTTTTGGCAATTCTTACGCTATATATTTTTCTATAATATTATGTGAAATCTTGCGTCAGTTTAAAGTGAAAATAATATATTTGATATCTAATTATATAATCTATATAAAATTCTCCCCATTATTAGTTAATTGCGACTACTGATCTGTAGGCGGATTACGAATTAAATATTAAAAAAAATAATCATAATTAAATTTATACTATTTTTAAGCTAAAATTATTACACAAACTCTACAGCTTAAAAGATAAATATTATATAAAACTTTACAGATCTAGCAAACTTCATATTAAATATTGAATTCCAATTGCTTGGTTGTATGTTATTCTAGTAATCTCTTTTGTTTTCTTTTAAATAATTAGTAGTTGCTGCTTTTTTTTTTTTTTTTATTAATTAAAGAAAACCTTTCTTGGTTGGCAATTTTTATTAAGTCGAGTTCAAGCACTATACACTTAGACAAAGGTACATATAGCCACATGTCTATCTTTTGGGTATCTAATTTAAGTAGTCCGCCTGAAGGTTCTACACTATCTGCCGTACCTGCACCTCAATTAGGAAGGAACTCATTTAAACTCTCTGATCTTAACATATTTGACCTGATGCGGGTATAACTCACTAAACAGCCAACTTAGAACACTTTACTATCCTTGATGGTAAGCCCAACAGAGTAGTATATGTCCCACACATACATTCACCTGTATGTTTCGTAATAGCTTCCTAGTTAGTACCTGCTATGCTGCCAACACCAAGTCCGTATCTCAAGCTATCCTTTAAGGCACTACTGTAACCCGATCTGTATCTCAAGCTACAACCTTTCTAATTAGTTTCCTATTACATATTCATTGCCCTTAATAGTTCACAACAACCCTGGTACCACACTTGGAACTGTCTCCTTACCCAGATTCTCTATCAGTCCCTTCCTTACTTCCAGCTGGCAACTCGGAAGAGTTGGTCTGCCCAGGCTTTAGATGCCTGAAAGATGCTCTTTCTTTAGTTTATACTTTTGGAGCATATGCTCTTTTTTTCTGGTGTGACAGAACCCGGCAGTTCGGCTAGTGTGTCCTCTACCATAGGACCTGGTCACTTGGTTTTCCGATCTCAGACCCCAGTTCGAATTCAGCCCTCCTGTGATATTGTCAAAAATCACTATTATATCCAAATTTGGAACTTCCCAAATAGGTTTTCGGTTATACCAGTTCCTTGGATTTATTGTGCCAAAGCTCTTATTACAAGATAGTGTGACCAAAGTTACAGATTAGTTCTAGATTCAACCAATAAGCATAGCCATCAACTGAACACAGGTCTATTTTTTAAATATCGTTGCCAGTAGAATTTGAACTCTAGACCTGCTACTTGGAGAAAGTAACAACTAAACTACTACACTAAGTCGCTACACCTCCAGTAGTTGCTACTTTTAATTTATCTTTACTAGGATATATACTATAATTTATTAAGGCTTTTGTAGTTTCTTTAACAGTATTCTATAATAAAGATAATTTTTTTTTTTGTTAAGTGTCCAGAGACTAGAGTTTATTAACATTTTAGATATTAAAGATTACAAAGATCCTCATACAAATTGCATTTGCAGTATCAAATTTAATCCAACTAGTCCATACCCGATATATATTTTTACTCTAGTATCTTTATATCTAGTACTGCTATCTACTTTATCTATATTTAGTAAACTAATTATCTTACCAAAATAGGTGTAGACTGCATATGCCTAATTATTATTATTATTATTATTATTTTTTTTTAACAACATTGTCTCTTTATTACTCATTGATAGAATGTACATTATATACATTCTTTTTACAAGATTTCTAGTCCAATCTATAGGTAATTTCTTACCCCAGATGTCCCAGGTCTCTCTTCCTGCGGTGTTTCAGTTTCTGAATTTCTATAACCATACTTGAGCGAGATATACTAAACTTTACAGCCCGGTATAGTCGTAGTTAACCCCTATTTACCTCACTATTGGTCTATATAGCGTGTGTAGTTTGCTTACCCCGACTCTGGGTACTTCTGGATTATTGGATGGTGGGATATTTCTATTTTGCTAGATATTACATATCCCACATATATATTTATCTAGACTTCAGTAATCTACACCATGGCTTTACCCAGTGTCTGAAATTGGGTTGCAGAGTCTGCAGACCACAACAAAGTTTTAAATTCCCGCAACCAAAAGCTGAAGTCCACATACAGATTCTGCATATAAATTTGCAAAATTTACTTATAAATTTCAATTAAATATTCATATACACAACTTAATTTTTATAAATTTTATAATCCGCAAGTCATTTTTTTTAATTGGTTGCAGCCCACAATTAATTTAAAAATTGAATATCAAACACTAGCTCTACTCATGCACTTGGGGTTAGGGCTAACTATTGAACCCCTGCGATTACTTACTTCTTGCTCTTATTTGGTTCACAATAACCCCAGTATCCACATTTGAAACCGTCTTTTTACCCAAAATTTTTATCAGTCTCTTCCTTACTTCCAGCCAGCAACTCGAACAGGTTGGTCTGCCCAGACTTTAGATGCCTGAAGGATACCCTCCCCTTGGTCTATACTTTTGAAATATATGCTCTTTTTCTCCAGTGCGTTAGCCTGGCGGTTCAGTTGATGTGTCCCTTACTTAAGCATCTAATTGCTTCGTCAGCAAAAAAAAATATACGTAAACCTCTATAAGTTTTTACGTGAGCGTAAACTTACAAAAAACTTATGATTAGTTTGGAGTATTACGTAGGGGTAATAATTACGAAAGTTTATGCTATAGAATTTCAGAGTATTACGTAGAAGTAATAATTACGAACATTTACGGCTTAGTAAATTTAAATGTAGCAAAATGCAAATAGTTGAAAACTAGCGAATACATGCATAAAATTATGAATATTTACAAATAACAAAAATCAAAAACATATGAAAACATGCGAAAATTTGCGAAAATTTGCGTAAATCAACAAGATATTACGTATAACAAAACATCGAAAAGAAGCAAAAATATAAATTATAAATCGAAAAAAATAAATAATATAAATTTTTAAAATAA